CGTGCGCGTGCTTGTGGCGTGCGCGTGTTGCGCGTGCGTTCTCCCTCGCAAGGAGGCCGCGTGGGCTTGGGATTCGGGGGGGGGGGGGGGGGGGGGGGGGGGGGGGGCGGGGTGGTGGGGGGGGGGGGGGGGGGGGGGGGGGGGGTGGGTGGGGGGGGGGCGTGGGGGGGGGGGGGAGGGGTGGGGGGGGGGGGGGGGGCGGGGGGGGGGGGGGCGTGCATGTGTGCAAAAATCACCATAAGTTGCTTCGCGGTCACGTCCAAAGCCAGGGGCCTGGGTGCCTTGCACAAGCCTGGGGATGGCTGATCAACGCGCATGCAGGCTTTAGCTTCGGCTCTCGTCTTGTCGCAAACCGTAGAACTCTGGAGCCGCTGGTAAACAAAATGCCGAAACCAGGCTGCATGCGCGCGGGAATCTGAGCACCGACCACCCGCGCGCGCAGAGGTACATGCAAGCGTTGCGGGGGAATGCAGGATTATCAAAGGAAGAAGCATTCTATGATGCGGAAGTGTAGGATGAGATTATGTCTTGCAGCTTTTACGCGTGCCCCTGCAAAGACCAAGATGGCGCGATGTTTCACCTTTGTCTGGAACCTGGATCAATTGACAACTGATTGCCGAGTGGGCTCCCGCTTCGGTGCGCGACCTGTGGATCATGCCGAATGTCGATGGCAAATTGGGGAGGCGCGTCGGCGCCGTGGAGCAGAACCTGTTCGCAAAGCTACACATCGCGTCACTCGCCGCGTCGGGCCGAAGATTGATTTGGAAACACGTGGGGGTCATGGTTTGTAGTCGCGGCAATTTGGAGCTGAAGGGCGCTGGGCGTTGTAACAAACGTCCCCGCCCGTCCTGGCCCACCCTGCACGGGCGCCCACCCAGCCCCCTCCCAGCATTCAGCCGCTTCGTCCAATAGTATAGGCTTGGAGCTACGCGTGGCAGAGCGTTCGTCCGTGAATTATGTTTAGTTGTGTATGAGCGGGTATGAGCTCATGCCCCTTGCTCCTGCAGCTCATCTGCCTGCCCCAAGATCCCCCCGCCCCTTCTCGCGCTCCTCCAGGGCTGCCACCTCAGGGCGAGAACGAGTGCAACGAGGACGAATGGGACTAGCGGGGGGCGCGAGGTGGCGCCGCGGATTCGCAGACCTCGCGCGAAACATGAAAAGCAAAACGAGTTCACGACGGTGGCTCTGAAGGCACGGGGAACAAATGCGTTGTAATATCTCTGCGCGCTATGGCTTTTGTGCTTCGCGACTGCTACTTGGACATTTTGGGCCAGCATCGCCGATGGCCCGAGCAAGCGGCCAAGCGGTTCGATCGGGGGGCAGTTGAGGCCGGCAGGTTGCCTGCAAGACGCCGGCAGAGACAAGCAATGACATTGATGTCCTAGGGCGGTCCGGCGGTTGGTGGCGCCAGGGCAAACTGTCCTGGGCTCGGGCAAGCAACTTGTCGACGGCGGCCGCGGGTGCAATCTCGCATCGCGCATGGCAGCAGATGGAGCTCTCAACTTGCCCGCCCAGCTTGTTGCAGACAACCTTCCATGAAGATCCCGCCCTTGATTGATTGTGTCGACATAGCGCAGCGGCCATGGGAAACTGCTCGGGATCTATGGAGGTTTGCAAATGAGGCGCGGTGGGCCGACGGAAGGCCAAGTCTTTGCTCAAGAATTTACATGCCACGCGCCCCCCGAACGAGAAGGAGACGACGCTGGGGCTGCAGCCGTCAACATACAATCCAGATGACTAAGAGTTCCGAACGTTGATTTCAGATCATGCCGGTGCACGTGGGAACGCCACCTCGTGATACGCATTCGCTACATTACGTGGCACTCTGCGGCATAACGAAAACCATCGTCTCAACACGTACATGAGTTACTACACTACCATCAGTGCAAAAGTGCCGACCAACGGCAGACGTGACGAACTCTGGTGGTAGAGGGCCATAGGGAGTAGCGCCCATGGAGATGTTGGGCTTGGGGGGGCACAGTTCCACTCGAATGAAGGTTCATCTCGCCGACGCCAGCGCCAGATTACCAGTGGGCAAAAGCAAAATTGACTGTCATACGTTGCGCGGCTGGTCGCAAGCCTGGCGCTGACTTTTCGGAAGCGACTAAGGGCGAGCAGTCAGAAAGAAATGCGAGGCCAGCTGGGATCCATTCAGCCCCGGGCGTGTCAGTAGCTGCTTTTGCATTGCTTGAGGCGTCGCCAGAGTTGAACAGCGCATGCAACCATGGTGCGGACACCCAGCGAATGGACTTGCATTGGCTTGCTATCGGCGGCAGGTCGGACAACACTTCCCACGTGAGCTCGAGGTTCAAATCCGTTGCTTGGGTTGCGGCTTAGCCCAACAAAATGCTGAGATGACGGCGTCGCGTACTTTTCTTTGCATGGAGATGCTGCCCGACATTTCTCACCACCTCCTCTGTGCTAGATGATTCAGATTGCCGTGGGGGTGCGACGGAGATTTGCTCACCGGGAATTGCGTTCCTGATGGGATTGGTCTCGGCGCGTGCTGGAAGTAATTGGGCCCTCCTCAGAGCTTGGTGAACTTTGCCGTTGAATGTGGCGCGCAATCCGTGACTGACCAAAATCGTCGGACTTCGAGGCAAGGCGCGCTCAAAGCTGAAGCACTTCGGGAACTCGAGGTGTCTCGATGCGAACTTTGGCAACAGTGCTGGTCCAACTTCTACTCGACGACGGGCGCCCAGACGCCACCAATGGCTACATCAACCAGCGAGCGACAAAAACACACGCACACACACCCACACACACACAAAAAAAAACGAAGCAACGGCAGACAGGATACGCACGGGAGGTCAGCCAAGCTCTCCAACTCTTAGATCCCGAGGGTGTCAAGGCCTTTTCATCTTTGAGAGGACAAATCCGGAAACGTGAGTTCGGCGCGAAGGTTGCAACGGCTGCAGCTGCACTAGCTGCAGCAGCAAGCGCCGCAGCACAAGATGCCCTGGCGCCTGCTGCCGCGCCCGAACTCCTCGTGGACATTGGAGCCAATGACATAGAAAGTGTGTCCTTCACTCCCGCGCGCTTCAGGCCTCTCATCCCTGGCAAGGCAACCACTGTTGGAATGGGACTTTCCCGGCTGCGCTCTGTAAAACGCTTCAGACAGACAGACAGACAGACAGACAGAAGCCCTACGCGCATGGCGCGTCGGCAAGCGCACACTCATACACTACCTACACATATTTCGCAATATATGTCTCCAAACGTTAGGATCCTGAAAAAGGTCTTGCAATCTGTCTCCTTCCCCGCACGCCCGGTGCGCATATGGTCCCAGTAGTTTCGCCCACTCCAGCCGTTGCGCCCCCACCCTCCTCGCGAAGGCGTCCGTGATTGGCGTCAGAGTCCCAAGGGTGAAAACAGAATCGCGAAGGGGATCTCCTGCCGGGCTCCACCATTGCCCCATCTTGCTGCAGCCCGGGCATCGCCCCCATCGGCCCCGGAGCTCCAGCCTGTTGTCTGACTCCTGGAAACTACCACCACCCGCCTGAAGCGGCCCACGGATCTACTGGACTCCCTGCTTCGGTGGGGTGCGTCGTCCCGGCGTCGCCTGGGGCGCCCTCTGTCTGAGTCGTGGCGTGCTGAGCCTGTCGCCTCGAGCTGGCCTTACCATCGGCCCCTCGCTCCCCCATCCTCATGAGCTCCGCTTACAACTGTCACACGGGGTGGCGGCATAAGGGATTCGGATGGACGGGAACGAAGCGATTTCAGAGCACAACGAGGAGGTGTGCGCTCATTTCACCAAGCCAAAGTGGCGATCACAAAACATAAAAGAGGATGGAGGGACGAAGGTAGGGAAAGGAAAGGACCCCCGAAAACCAACACAGGGGTTCGGGTGACACATCACCCTCAGGACGATCACCTCCAGGGCTATCTTCTGGCCCAGGCCAGCTATGATGAAGAGCGCGATGAAGACGCTGCGGGTGGGAATGGAAGATCACGACCGTGGCGCCACTGGCGTGATCGTGTGCATGCATGACCACATAGTACTCAGGAACCAGGTGTCCGCATTCACTGCAGCATGCCAAGCTGGAGCTGAGCATAAACAGTGCTACCAATACTAGGCTCGCGACGCAGACGCAAAATACAAACTTACTGTTGTCTCTGCTCGCATCCTCGAATGGTCGAATGGCCCCAAATGGATTTTCACCCACCAGCCAAGAGAAATGCACTCCGCGATCCAAGACAACTTGGCACATACTGCCGTGAGAGCGAATGTGACGAGGAAGCGCGAAGGGGCAGAAACCCGAAACCAGCCCCTCGACCTAGAGCCAAAATGTCGACCTAGGGCCAAGAAGGGCTAGGACGAGGACGACGAGGATGACGACGATGACGCCCGTGTGGTGAAATGTCGAGCTAAGGTGTGGCCATGCAGAAAAGCCTGGGTGTCCCCCCCAGCGCTTGGGGGCGCCGCTGGGAGGAACACTGCAAACGGGGCCCCCCGCGGTCGTCCTGGGGCTCTCTCGTGGCTCCGTTCGGACCAATTTGGGCCTGCTGGGGGGCTAGTCGTCGTCCACTGGCATCCACCGATATGTTTGTGTGATTAATCCGCGGTTCCGGAAGTCCCGACCCCTTCCCCAGGGCTAGTTTTTCTCGCCATCGCTCGGACGTCGATTCCCAGTGCATGTTTCGATTTCGTGCGTGTATTTTCCGCGAAATGATCAAAGATGCTCCTCGATGGTCCTCGCCGAGAAAAAAGCACACGTCCGAGCGATGCCAAGTTTTCGCCCAAATCCATTGTTGATGCCTGGCTCCGGGGCCGGAAGACGGGCCCCAGGGGCCGACCTCGGTAAAAAACGCTCTGGTTGAAAAAATCATATCGCCGGAGACCTGGGTCGTCGTCGTCGTCGTCGTCGTCGTCGTCGTCGTCGTCGTCGTCGTCGGCGGCGGCGGCGGCGGCGGCGGCGGCGGCGGCGGCGGCGGCGGCGGCGCGCGCAAGGCGGGCCGTGCGCGCGGGGGCGCGGCGGCGCAGCAGCCGGCCGGCGGTCCCAGTGCAGGGTGAAGTGCTGCGTGCCGCGCCCGTCGGCCCGGGTCACGCGCATGCCTTCCAGGGGCCACGCCGCCAGAGGGCGACGGCGAGGACGAGGACGGCGGCCTCGTTGATGATGGCAACGACGACCTCGTTGACGACCTCGCTGACCTCGTTGACGACGACGACAACGACGACGGCGGCGGCGACGACGACCTCGCTGACGACGACGACGACGACGACTAAACCCTCCTCCTCCTTCTCCTCCTCCTCTCCTGCGGCTGCTCAATTTCCTCATGATCCTCCTCCTCCTCCTCCTCCTCCTCCTGCTCCTACTCCTACTGCTCCTCCTCCTCCTGCTCCTCCTCCTCCTCCTCCTTCTCCTCCTCCTATTCCTCCTCCTTCGCATCCTCCTCTCCTTCTGTTCGTCGTCATGTCCCTTTGCGCGGCCCTTGAAAGATCTGTAGATTTACCGGATCAAGGTACTAACCAGATTGAGCTGCAAAGCCGTGTTTGCGATTTCTTCTCTCCTCTACTTACTACTCGTATTCTCCCTTCTGTCACGGTCGAGCGGATGTGCAAGGCGTTCCTGATGGTTGGCGCGCTGGTGCATCTTGGCGAGAAGCGCTCCAGGCAGCATCGCCAAGGGGGCCCCCTTTGAATCCATGCGATTGCGAGCCCGAGCTCACCAAGCCAAGGGGGCCCCGTGCACGATAGCGCCGCGGACCCGCTGGAGCTTCTGGGCAAGCACCGCAGCGAGTAGGCTGGGCACTGGCAAAAGCTCGCCTCGCCCCAGGTGGGCGAGAGGCTTGCGGAAATCCAGGCGGCCCTCGACGTCATGGTGCAAGCAGAAGGCCTCGGCTGCAGGCACCTCTTCGTCTTGGCAGAGGACGTGGGAAAGGTGGCCAACAAGTAGCTTAAGACGGGGAATTCAGCGCCCAGAGGGACCCAATCTCGACACCTGGGGTGGCCGGCCGACCTCGACGCAACGGCCAGCTTGCCCAACCCACGTGCGAGCAGGAGCCGTGCTCGGCCCAGTACCCGAAGCCGCTCGGTGGAGGGCGGCGAACGATCGGCTAGTTCAAGGCCCTATACTGCGTATGGGGCCAGTGCCAGCGGCGCCAGCTTTGAGAACGGCTGCGCGGATTGGACGACTTGAGCGTCCTCGATGCGGGCGAGGGGCGGAATGTCACTGACTGCGCGTGGCGCTCGGCAGTCCGCGGTGAGTCGGCTGAAGGGCTGCATCGGGCCTTCCTTCAGCTTCTGTGGGAGTTGTCAACGATGAAAAGCCATGGGAAGCTGATCGAGCTGGCCCGCAAAGTTCAGCTTCAAGCGCCGATCCTGCGGGCGGTGCTCAACAACTTCCGCTGGGCCAGGTGCCAGGTACGTGGTCATGGATGGGATGGCGGCGCCAGGGATCCTCCCCGACAATGAGATCGCGGCGGAATCACGGACCTCAAGACTCAGCAGGACAGGCACCCAGGTCCAGCTCACGGTGCACATCGATGACATCGGCCAGGAGGGGGCTGCTGATGCAGGTGCTTAGACGATAAAGCTGCTGGCTGGCAGCGCGAGGGACCTCGCGTCGAGTCGGCCGTGGAGACGGACCTGGACATGCAGCTGGCGGGCTCCAAGGGTACGCTCCCGGGCAACAGTACCGCCGTCAAGCAGCAGGCCCAGGTGGTGCTAAAGAGCATGGGCTTGTCCGAGCGCCTGCCCAAGCCGAAGCGGGCGCAGAAGCGTGCGACGGATACATCAATGCGGCACCTGGGCGTCGATTACCGCTCATGCCGCCGCGCGCGTACCCGGCGCTCGGCACGGCGTGCTCGAGGTGCCGGAATGGGTGCGCGCTGCTGGACCCGCGCGCGGCACGCGCCCGTGCGTGTGCAGGGCCTGACTGCGCAAGGCACCGCGCGCCGTGGCGCAGGTGGCGGACTGCAGGGGGATCTGGCACGCCGCCATTCTCCCCGCGGCGAGGCGGGGCGGTGACGTTGCAGGCTTCGCCGACGCCGGGGTCCAAGAGCTACGGGCCCGTGGCGAGGCCCACCGCGGGGTGGCCGGCCCCGGGATCTTCGGGGCAAGCCTGCCGAAACTGGACCCGCTGGGCGCCTTGGCTGTCGTGGGGCTGGTGGCCGGTGCGGTGCACCGACGAGTGGCGGCGGGCCTCGGGCCGCAAGCAGGCCAACGGGTGCGTCCTGTCGCCCACAGGCATCGGCGCGGCCTTCGGCGGCGCCGCTGCAGACCTCAATCGCGACCCACCCCACCCAAGTCGGGGCCAGCTGGCGCCATGCTTCGCTCCCTCGAGTACGCAAAGTGGACCGCGCTGCACTCCGCGTCCGTCGCCTCGCCGACGTCTGGGGAGACCCTTGTAATTCGCCACGGGCCCAGGAGGTGAGCACGGCCTTCGCCAAGGACGTGCAGGCTCGCACGCAGGAGCGTGCAGATATCGCGGCAGCGCCCCGTTTCCGTAGACGACGACCAGACCGTGTGGTGGGAGGCCATGCGGGAGATCACCGGCAGCAAGCACGTCTCGGCCCTTCTGGGGCACTCACTCGTTTCCACAACTTGACGCGGAACGCACATGGCGCGGAGCCTCGCCTGCAAGTGGGGGTATACCTGGTGCAGCCCACGTGCTCGGACTGCCCGGTGCCACACACGCCCGCCCGCCGCATCTCCGAGTGCCCGAAACTCGCCGCTGGGCGCGCAGGCACGAGGCCTGCGCGCCAAGACGAGGCGCTCGAAGCCTGCAGCGCCCTGTAGCTTCCGGGTCATAGCTCGGCTCTCCGGCGGCCACTGGGGACGATCCGGGCAACTCCCGGCGTGCTCTCGGCAGGGCGCAAGTGCTGAAGGCGCCCCGAGGCTGGCAAGCCGCCAGGAACCGAAGAACACGCCCGGATGCCTGGAATCGCGGGCTCGGGCGGCGACCGACGACATGCGACCGAGGCTGTTCCCCCCAGCGCTGCCCGTGACTGAATTACGTTCGGTCCTGCCAGAGGCCGGACAAGCCTTTTTTTTCCCCCGCAACGAAATCGCTTGAAGGTTCGAGTCGATCGCTCCGCCACTCTTGAAATCCGCTGCCCCTCTAGAGGGCTATCCTCCCGGACGCAAGCCGACAGCAGTGCAATGAAGAGGGCAAAAACTTGCAGTAGCCCCGGGCTCGGGTAATCGGGAAAGGACGAGGACGAGGAGGACGAGGACGAGGAGGAAAGAAGCCTCAGAGGCCGGACAAGCCTGAGATGACCTGGTCGGCCAATGTAGGGGCGGAGGACGGGGCGTCCCAACCGATCGGAAAAGGCACTCCGCGTCGCGCCCCAACGTTGCCCCTTACCCCTGACCCCTCTCCTCCCCCCAACACTGCGAGGCGGGGATTTATCCATATCCACCGCCTGGGAACCGACGTCCTGGGGACCCAACGGGCGGTGGATCTATCTATCTATCTATCTATCTATCTATCTATCTATCTATCTATATGGCCATCCAGGGGCCAGAATCTGTCTATATGCCGCCTGTGGAGGTCCGCGAACATCGATCTTCCGGGCGGTGGCCATGTAGAACCCCCTGCTCCCCCCGAGCGGGGCCCAGGGCGGCGGGCCACCCTCGACCGTGTAGCGCTCCCTCGGGCAGTCCACGTTCGCCTCGGCCCGCGCGCAGCCGCCGCCGCCGCCGCCGCCCAAAACGAGGGCAAGATCGGGGCCAAATCGTCGGCCCGCGCGCCAACGCCGCCGCCGCCCAGAACGGGGGGCAGCATCGGGGCCGGGTCGGATCCGGGGGGGCGCACAGGCTGCAGGAGGAACTGGGCGGCAGCATGCGAGGGCTCGGCTTTCGCCACACGGTCCGCGAGTTCCGAGCCTCGTCCCCGCAGCCCATCGAATCACCTGCGCGCCAGGGGCGGCGCTGGAGGCGCCTCCAGGGCGGCCCATCCAAGAAATCCGTGCGGACCTCCGAAAAATCTGTTCGTGAAACTTCTGCTGCTCGCAAGACAACAGTGCTACCAGAAGGGCCGCTGAATGAGGAGCGAGGGGACTTTTCCAACCGGCCGCGCGCAGGCTGTCCTCGACCTGGGTCTGACACTGAACTGGCGCGGAAAGCGGACCGAGTAATGAGATTTTGCACAGCACGCTGCTAGCACACGTTCATGATCCTGAAACGCCTGATTCACGTTCATCCATGTTCATGATCCTCCTCACGTTCATTCCTAAACACGCAAAGACTGAGACGCCCCAATCGCGTTCATGATCCTCGAGGCGAACGAGAACACCACGGGTGGCAAAATCGCTCGGCGTGCGAGCTCCACCCCCGTCGTGCCACCTCGTCTGCACCCTTCCACGGCGAGCGCGAGCGCCCGTCCGGCTGGCAAGACACGATGCCCGTGCGGACCGGCTGCCGCCCGACGGGAGCAGAGAGGCCCAGCGTGGGATGAACCACTGCTTGCCCCGACGTCTTCACGACTTGGCCGCCCAGCTCTGGCCATTCCATGGCCACTCTCAATTCCCGTGCCAATCACGCACCCTCTGGAACCATCGTATCCGGGCTCGCTGGCGCACCCCCGGAGACTCCGGAGCTTCCAAATCTGCAGTCCGTGGCCTCAAGGACGTGTCAAGACGATCCCGAATCGCCCAACGGCTGGCCCAAGACGCCCACGATGGTTCCAAGACGCCCCAAGACGCCCCAAGAAAGGCCCAAGGGCCTTCCCCAGAGGGCTCTGAGAGGCAAGCAACATGTTCTTCTGAAGTTTGTTCGTTATCTCTGGGATCATCGTTTTCTCGAGCTTCCGACGCTCCAAGACGATCCAAGCGGCCCCTACAAGGGCTCCGGGACGGCCCAAGAGGGTTCCAAGACGACCCAAAGAGAGCCCAAGACGGCCAGATCGCCACAAGAGGGCCCCAAGAGAGGCCAAGAGGGAGAGCAAGAACCGAAAATCCGATCTTTCGTCCCCAAGGAACTTGCTAGAAACCCCAAGAAGCCCCCAAGCGACCCAAAGATGCCCCCAATTAGCCCCAAGAGGCACCCAAGAGGCCCAAAAGAGGCTGCAAAATGCCTGACCCAAACAAGCTATCGGTTGCGAACAACACTGGAGCGCACGCAAAAACAACGAAACACACCTGCGGGGGGTCTTCTATGATTTTCTGCTTTTCATGCCGTCGTGGAGCCGTCTTCGCCTTGTCCAGCGAGAACTGAAGGGGGCGGGCGGTGAACACGAAGCGTCTTGAATACATCAGGAATCTCTGAGATCCGGCGGCTTCTCATCTTCCTCCTTTCTTCTACTCCTCCTCCTCCTCCTCCCTCAATGAAGCTCTTGATGGCTCTCGAGCATGCCCAAGCTGAAGCTCCTGGGCCTGCATGGGCCACCAGCGCTCGCAACGACGTGGGGATGAGGGAGGGGGACTACGAGCAATTTGCAAAATTATGTCCACATATGGGATGCTCTTGTTGATAGGCAAGTGTTCTGGATGGTCTCCTGGATGGTCTTTCATGGTGTCGAATATTGGTCTCATATCCAATCTCGGGGATCTCGAGGAGGTAAGCCTTCCCGCCATGGCTTTTGGGTGTATCCGATACGCGAAATACGTACAAGTTGAAAGAGCCGGCCGAGGGGAGGAGGCCGGCCGCGCGCGCGCTTCTACCTGCACGCAGATGGCTGCGTGGAGTAGTTCGGCCAAGGAATGCCAGCCATGCGAGCGGCACGGTCAGCACAAGCGGTACAAATCGGCGGTGGACAAACCTCCCTTTAGTAAACCTCCCCTGAGTGAAAACGGCCTGGGACTGGAACCGACGGACCTGGACCCGCAAAAATGACGGCCGCGACGCCCCCTCGCGAACCGAAAACGGCCAATTCCTCAATCGACGCGTCAGGGAAGAAGGTCTGTCCACCCCCGAACAAAACGGCGAGGGGGAACACTGGCAATCACGGAGCGAGCGAGCGAAGAGCAGAGCCGTGGGCTCCGCTGGGGAGCCCGCCCGTGCCCGCTGGGAAGTGGCGTGGGTACCGCAGCCTCGAGGGGGGAAGAGGGATCGAGGGGGCAGCCCGCAGCCTCGAGGGGGGGGAGGGGGAGGCATCGATGACCTTTTCGCGCGCCCCTGCGTCTGCGTCTCTGCGCCCCTGGCGCCGGGCTTCTGGCGCCTCCTCCTCCTCCTCCTCCTCCTCCTCCTCCTCACCCTCCTCATCCTCCTACCCCATCCTCCTCCTCCTCCTCCTCCTCCTCCTCCTCCTCCTCCTCCTCCTCCTCCTGCTCCCTCCTCCACCATTACACGATATGAATACTACTCTCCTCTCTCCCCTGGTGGCGTCCGGGAAATGTCTGGCCCCCCTCCGCGCACTGGTTTGGGAGTTGGATTTTCGTTTTTTTGTGGGATTGTTTTCAACATGCTGCTCTCGCTGAAGCGCTGGCCTCATTTTCGGGCTACCGCTCGTTCCGAATCGTGCTCCCGCTGCAGCGCTGGACTCATTTCCGCGCTTCCGCTCGCTCCGAATCGTGCTCCCGCTGCAGCGAAGGCGTCATTATTTCCAGCGCCATGCCACGTGATGGTTTCGGTCCTTCCAAGTAGGCCCAAAAATCTAGAAAATGGCCTCCCGAACAAACCATCGGAAGTGATTACACAATCGGTGTGATTTTTTCGGCCGCAGAAGCCCCCCCCACTTTGGGACATCGCCACGCCATGCTATGTCAGGCTACGCGTCCTCATTTCCAGGTTTCCGCGCTTGGCTGTTTTTCAAAATACTGCTCTCGCCGAAGCGCTGGCCTCATTTTCGGGCTACCGCTCGTTCCGAATCGTGCTCCCGCTGCAGCGCTGGCCTCATTTCCGCGCTTCCGCTCGCTCCGAATCGTGCTCCCACTGCAGCGCAGGCGTCATTATTTCCAGTGCCATGCCACCGCATAGTTTTCGGTCCTTCCAAATCGGCCCCAAAATCTAGAAAATGGCCTCCCGAAAAACCATCGGAAGTGATTACACATTCGGTGTCGAGTCGTTGATGTTTTGGGCCGCAAAAGCCCCCACGTCCTGCTATGTCATGCTAGGCGTTGATCTTCAACACCATGCTATGCCATGTAATGCTAAGTATGCCATGTTGCGACATCCAATTGTGCGAATAGGGAGGAGATCTACGCCATGGTAAGGGATGGGAGGCAGGGGTAGGGCGTCAGGCATGACGCGAGCGCACCTAGCTTGCCCCTCCCCCTTCTTCCCTCTTCCCTCTTCCCTCCTCCAATTCCTCCCTCCTCCTTCGTCCTCCTCCTCCTCCTCCTCCTCCTCCTCCTCCTCCTCCTCCCCCTCATCCCATCCTCATCCTCATCATCACCACCACCGTCCTGCTCCTCCTCCTCCTCCTCCTCGTCCCTCCTCCTCGTCCTACCACCTCCTCCTCCTCCTCCCCCTCCTCCTGCTCCTCCTCCTCCTCCTCCTCCTCCTCCTCCTCCTCCTCCTCCTCCTCCTCCTCCTCCCCCTCCTCCACCACCACCGCGCGGAGGGGCCGCGCGCGCACGCGGGGCGCACCCACGCGCCCGACAGCTGCGAGGCGGCGCGCGTGTGGACACCTTCGGGGCGCGCCCGCGGCCGCCGGAACGCAGCCCTGGGCGCGAGGCGGCGGTCCAGCGGCGGCCTGTCGGCGGCCTCCGTCCTTCTGCCCCTCTCTCCTCCTCTCCCCCCTCCTCTCCTCTCCCTCCCTCCTCCTCCCTCCCCTCCCTCCCCCTCTCCTCCCTTCCTTCTCCCTCCTCTCCCTCCCTCCTTCTCCTCCTCTCCCTCCTCCTCTCCCTCCCTCCTCTCCCTCCCTCTTCCTCCCCCTCGCCCTGCGTGCCAGGCGTGCGCACGCCCTCCATTCCCATTCCCCCCCTCGGGCGGGTCGGCCCCCCGCGGTGGCTCCACCTGGGTGGCCCAGCTCCCACGCCTGGCGCGCGCGCGCCACGGGGGAGCGGGGGAGAGGATCGTGGGAAGGAGGAGGAGGAGGAGGAGGAGGAGGAGTGGAAGGAGAGGAGGAGGAGGAGGAGGAGGAGGGGGGAGGAGGGAGGAGGAGGAGGAGGAGGGGGAGGAGGGGGAGGAGGAGGAGGAGGAGGAGGAGGAGGAGGAGGAGGAGGGCAAGAAGCAGGAGCACTGCAAGGACGAGAAAGAGCGATTGGGACGACAGGGTGCCAGTGCTGAGAAGGAGATTCAGAAAGAGGAGGGATGCTCATAACCACACGCGTTCTGGCCTAACCCTGCGCGTCGCGGCACACGATGCGCCACACGCGAGATCTTCACGTCCCCTCGGATGGCCTTGACCGCTTGGGTAACCGCGTGGACATGGGCATGATCGGCGGCCAAAGATGTCCACACCCACCGCCTCTCGGCGGTGGACAAACCTCCCTCTAGTAAACCTCCCCTTAGTGAAAACGGCTTGGGACCGAAACCGACCGACCTGGACCCGCAAAAATGACGGCCGCGACGCCCTCTCGCGAACCGAGAACGGCCAATTCCTTAATCGACGTGTCAGGGTAGGAGGTCTATCCACCTCCGAGCCTCCTGGTGTCCTGGGACACCGGTTCCCCAGGCGGTGGATACGTGCAAACCTCGGCCTCGGGAGCAGGAGCCGGAGTCGGAGGCAAGACTTTTCAGCGATGGCATCAGAGACTGGAGGAGCTGCATGGGGAGCACGGGTGCACTGAAGAGGCAACATCAAGGAGCGGGAATCAACGCTACGGACTACAACAACACGAATGATACTGGGACAATCAGAACGCTGAGTCAACGGCGAGTGGTCATTCTGTCCCGTGTCCGCGCCCCAAGCTCTCAGCTGAAGCCATGAATATGAATACTCTCTCGGACGACTCAACAAGGGTGCCACATCCCTGCGAGGGGATCGTACACCAGAAGCATCAACAGCAAACAATTCTGACCTATATAAGCTCGCACTGCACTATTTGGATCGACCGACCGTCCTCCAGCCCTCCTCCGACCGACATCCCCCTCTGGCCCCAGCCCCCTGGTGTACTATTTCGACCGGCCGACCGACCGATCGTACGTCCCCAACCCCTCCCCGTTCTGAGGCCCCGCCGCCTCCAATGCATTTTTACAATTGCGACCGACCGATCGACCGTCCCTCTGCACCCTCCGCATCCCGCCCTGGCCCTCCTGGCACATTCAACTGACCGCCCCCTCCTTTCCGCCCCCAGCCCCCGCCCGCCCCTGCGCGCATTACGTCGACCGGCCGACCGTCCCTCCCCCTCCGCCCCTAGCTCCGCCTCTTGGTGCGCACGGTGCCGCTTGTTCCACGCGCAAGCCCCCCTTTGTGTGAATCCGTTTCCTGGCGTTTCTGAGCGGGCCTGAAAGAGGGGGTGCGCCGAGAGATCCCTGCAATCGAAACGCGAACGGGCCCGTGATGTACCCCCCTGGCGGTTTGCCCTGGAGTGCCCAGGTGCTGTGCTTGCTACGTTGCGTTGGGTCCATAATGCACACCTTGGCGGCTCCCCCTTTGGGCTCCCAGAATGTTTCGCCTGCTACATCGCGATGATCATGCTGCACTTGAAAGAGACACGTCGACCTCCCGAGACAGACGACTCGCATGAGCCATCCCCGTATTCAGTGCGCGAACAGGTCAATGATATGCCCACTGGCGGCCCCCCCTTGAAGGGGCCCATGATACCCCCCCAGGCGGCTCCACCTTCGGGTATCCACATGCTATCTTCTCCACATCGCGATGATCACGCGGCCCTGGAAAAACACGCCTACTTTCCAAAACATGCAGGCGGGTCGAGCCGAACGGGCCCACTTGTGCAATCCAAAACCGAGGTAGCAACGCACTGGAGCGCGGGTGCGTCTACGCGGACAGTAACGATGAAGTTGTCTGGAACATGCGCGCGAAGGTCTGAGAGGGGGGAGGCGGGCAGGGCATAGGTCGGGCCTCCCTGAGATCAGACGCAGCGAACACTTCCAGCATCGTGAAGAATCACGCCTGGACCACAGCTTTCTGCTCAACTTTCGAGCAAGGTTCCTGGGGGCCGACATCGGGCGAAGACGCCCAGCACGGAACAGTGGGGAGGAGGAGGAGGAGGAGGAGGAGGAGATGCGGAGGCCGGCTGAGGGCAGGCGGAGGGGAGTAGGAGGAGGGGAGAGGATGCGGAGGAGGAGAGGATGCGCTGAGGAGGAGGAGGAGGATGGAGGAGGGGAGGAGGAGGAGGATGAGGAGGATTATGAGGGAGGACTTGAGGATGCGATGAGTACGGTGAGGACGGACGGCGAGAGGAGAGGAGTAGGGGGGGGGAGGGTAGGAGGATGAGGAGGAGTAGTGGAGGGAGAGGAGGAGGGGAGGACGGAGGGAGGAGGGGGGCGGTAGGGGGGTTTAGGGAGTGGGGGGGAGGGGAGGTGCAGGGCGTAAGGAGAAAAGTTCGGAGGGAGGGGGGGCGGAGGTCTTGTTTGCAGTGGTGGATGGGCGATGCTCATGTAAAATGAGCCGCCGACCCTCGCGGGTCCCCTTCAGCGAGTGTGCTGCGTCTCGGCTTTTTCGGGCCAGCACTGCTTCCGGCGGGCGCGGTCACCCGACGCTTCGCGGCGGTCCCCGGCCGTTCAGCCTCTCCAGTGCGGCCCGGCTGCGGTCCACCTCGGGGGGCGGGTTGGAGGAGGAGGAGGAGGAGGAGGACTGGCCATCGCTCGGACGTCCATTCCCTGTGTTTTTTTTTCGGTTTCGTGCGTGGTTTTTTCGCCAAATGATCAAGGATGCTCCTCATGGGTCTCTACAAGGAGTTTATTTTCATTGCAGATAATGCCCCATTGGAACACAACCGCCTGAGAATCTTAAGTCGCATCAGAACGTACTTTTTGGGACCTCAGTGCCGCGAGCCAACGTGACTGGCACGTCCTGACAATCCTAAATCGTACCAGAAGACGTAACCTAGAACTTCAACGCAACGATGCACCGTGAATGTTGCGTCGTGAAAACCCAAAATCACGCTAGAACGCCGTCCCTGTTACCTCAACCATACGAATCCTGGAAGCTGTTGCACGCTTCTGAAACGAATGAGCACGGCACTCAGGCAACAGCCACATTTTGAGAACGGCCCGCTCGCCATCCGTGAATCTGCTGCAAATGCCGAAGCTCGGAATCAAAAGTGGTGAGGATCCCTAACTGGCCCCCCTCCCCAAGGGCGGGAGGGGGTTCGAACGGGTGGTGGGGGGGCCCCCCGTCGAGACCCGCGGTCCTGACGGCCCCATTCAGAGCAGGTGGGGAGAGGACGCCTGCCTTCGCCATCGCGCTGCGACATGAGGTGGGTCTGGAAACGAACGTGACGGGCAATAACCAGAATGGCTCGATGACGCCGCGCCGTATCCAAGGGAGCGCTAGCAAGGGCGCAGAGAAGCCTGGGCGCCGACACTGCCGAGGAGGAGGCAGACGAGGAGGATGGAGGAAGAGGAGGAAGGAGGAGGAGGAGTTTTTTTGCTAAAGCAGCAGGCAGAGAAAGCGTTTGGAAAAGAGAGACTGCCAACCTGGGAAAAAAGGGCCAGTGCTGCAGGGCCGACCACACCGATCAGGGTGAAGGCTGAAGTCACCGACCAAACGTTGGAATCTCAGCTGGAAGCCCTGCATCTGGGCGAAAACTCCTCGCGAATCCAAAAAACAATGCGCTGGGCAGTGACCTAGGAACGATCATTAAACATCACCGCGTCACATTCGCTCAAGAGAAACCCTAGATTTTGTGACGCAGATAACCCTGCCACATGCAGCGCAGACGTTCTTGGTCCAGCAATTGCGGGGCGAGCGCAGCATCTAGCCGAGAAAATCTGGCCCTGCCCCAGCACGAGAAAGGGGGGGCGGGTCCACGCCGCAGACAAAACATCGAATCAAGAGGAGGAGGGCGGAGGCCAGGAGAACGGACCTCACCCCTCCTCCCCCCTCCTTGCGGCGGTCCTTCGCCCCCGCCAGAGGCGTCAGGAGGCCTTTTTGACCCCTGCGGGGAGCAGCTGGGCACGGGGACCTGAGGCGGGCCAAGTCGCCGGAATGGGTCTTGGCAGAGAACTTGCCGCACTGGTCGCAGCTCCAACCTGGGGCGGAAATAAACCTGTGGGCGAACACTGCTGCCGCCGCGCGAACACTACTGCCGCCGCCTCTCCCCGCGCAGCGCGTCTGACAGAAGGCAAGACCCCCGCCGGCGCGACCGCTCGCCCGGTCGCCCTCGCGACAGGAACGGCAAGAAAGCATAAACTGGCACTCCTGCGCAGCCGCGACTCTGCCTTCGCCGCGAGGCCCGGGGGCTCCCCTGCACGCATCAGGGCCGATCTGAATCGGGATCCCCCTCGCCCTGGTCAGGCCAGCGGCGACAGCGCTGATGCACGTGGCCCCTGGCGGGGCCTAGGCGGCCACACGCTAGGCGCGCGAAACGCGCTTCGTCCTCGGCCGCGTGTGGAAGAAAGCGCCCACCTGGAAAGATCTGCCCCGGGATGCAGGAGCCCGGCACATTCGCGCCGGGGATCAGCGTGCTCCAGCTTGAAACGGCGATGCTTACCGTTTGCCAGGGCCCGCGCATCATCGATGCGATCGCACCGAACGAACGCGCCCGAAGTGAGATCAACAGCCCGAACGCCTTCCGCGATAACCGACAGCCCGGCCCTTGGCACCGACTGCTTAAGGCTGTCGACCACCCCCTTTGCCTCCCGAGTCCCAGCCCAGGCCATCGAGGCCTTCGTCAACGCGCGCAAAGGCCCGATGCGCCCGCCAAAAACACGCGTTCTTTTCTCCCGCCTGTCACCAGGCCCGCCCTCCCCAAAGACGCTTCCGGGAATAGCGACTCCGGCGGGGCCTGGCCCTGGCGCGCCTGACCCAGGCCGGGCCACTGGACTCGGAATGAGGAGGGAACTCCAACCCAGAGATTGGGAAGGGTCCACGACGCCAAGACATCGACCTGCCCGAACTCCTCTGGAATGAGAGCGCCAGTGTTCTCAAGATCTGGCGGGGGGGCGGGCGGCCGCTTTGTCGCGCCCGCGCGACATCATGAGAGTCGCAGTGGCGTCTCCAAAAGCGGCGGCTACTAGACTCCAGCTGCAGCCCCGCGCCCTCGACGCGGCCAGGGCGGTAGCCGGCACCGCGCCTTCTCTTCTCGCAATCTGGCTCGGGGATCTTGCTTGTCCGAGCTTGCAAGCAAGGACCTCAGAGCGGCTCGTGCTTGCGGGCCACGCGAAGATTCTTTCACGCGAGCCCATGCTGCTACGACAGCGGATGGGGCAGCCCGCTGTCTCGCCAGGCGCCAGGACGCCCCCTTTGGGGCGCGGCGCAAGCGTGGCCGATGGAACAAATGGGCGTCGAAGATCATACGCGAGATGATATCGCGACCAAGTAGCCGCCGCCAGCGGCAGGCCCAACCATGCCGGCCTGTCACTCGTGCTCCGACTCAAGCCTAAGGAGCTGAGAACGACGCGCCGCCGCAGCCAGGCTCCCGCATCCGAGGCGGCACCACCTACAAACTCGACAACTCCGGCCCGCGATTTTGGCCCAGCAGTGGCCTCGAGAGCACCCAGGAGACGCGAAGGCGGGGTTGCGCAAGCATCCTGGAGGGCCCGCTCGGCCCCAATGGGCCCCGTCGGCCCGCGAATCGAAGGGCGGCTCCAAGCGACGTCTGCGAGCGAAGCCTGAGAGGCAGCCGTCGGCCCCCGCGCTGCGCCCCAGCCTTTTCTCTGCCCGCCCCCCCCCCCCCCCACGCCCCCAGAGCAAAGAATCAGAAAAACAAGAAAAGCTCCTGGAAGCGGCGCGGGCGGCGATCTCGGGGGATCTGATGGCGCCACAGTGCTGGGGCCCCGCCAGCCCCCTGATGCGCGCGATGGCATGGTCTCGGCCAGCGCCGAGGCTAATTCTGATGGCCGTCGTCGCGCGCGCGCCTCTCCGCGGGCGCCCCCCACTTAAACGGGCCTGGCCCCTCTACTGCCTTCGCGTTGTCGGGGCTGACGAACAACGAACCTCGGGCGCCCAAACCGCCTTCGGGCGCGCGCGGGGGAGGCGCAACTCAGCGGCCCCGCGAAAGGCGCCAGCGGGCTTCGAATCTCCGGGGCTGCACGTCGGCCTTCCAAGAACCAAGCCCCCCAACCCCGACGGGCGCAGGCGCCCCCGACGTCGCGCCATGACCGATATCCCCATCATGCAACTTCTGACAACACTGGGAAGCCCGATCGCTCGCCCCGCTGGCCCAGCCGCCAGGCCAGCGCGCGCGAACAGCCGGGGAGGCCATCGAGCGGCACCTGGGCAGCGCCAGCACGCACCCCCGCGCAATCCCCGAAGCAGCGCACTCAAAATAACGGAAAGACGTAGCTATTAGGGCGCCACGAAACAGGCGGGGGCGCCGCCGACCCACCGCCAGGGGCGGAATCCAAGGGCGGCCCGGATGGCGCCTTCCATTCGGCTCGAAAGATACGGCCTGGCCCGAAACGCCGCCCAGCCGCCCCGCAGCCCGCCGGCCCCCCCAGGAAGCAGGCCCCGTTGGGCGCGCCGCCGCAGCGTTGACATTCAGAGGCCAAGATGCGCGCCCGGGGGCAGAACCAGCAGACGGAAAAGGGTCGCGAGAGGCCCGGGCGAGACCAGGCAGGCAAGCCACATGATAAACCTTCCCCTTCCCGACGAGCCCCAGCGACGCGAATGCCCCCTAAGACCGATTCACGTTCTCCAAGCCAACGGGCACGTTGAACAGGGGGGCCGACGACCGCGCCCCAGCATCCAGGGACTGCGCGGCCCCAGGCGCCAACGACAGGCGCCCGAATCCTGCGAGCCAGCACGTGGCCAGACAGAACTGCGGCGCAAGTGGCCTCGGCCCCCATGTTCTTTGCCGAACAACGCAATAATATGAGTCAGCTCCGGGGAAGGCGCAGCAGCCCCGCGCCCCGTCAAAAGCAGAGGCCAGGGCCTCGAGCGCCTCCTCCCTCGGGCGCGCCCATGGCCAAGCGGGGCGGCGGCCATCGGCGCCTCTGCCGCGCCCGTCGAGCGCCGATGCCTTCTCGAGCTGACAAACCGAGGCCGGCCCGACGCGGGCGCTTTCAGGCTGCCGCCCCGCCGGCGGCCGACGCCTCGAGAGACTCGAACCTGGCGCGCTCGCCCCAAATGGTCGCATGAAGCCTCCGACTTGACATTCGGGGAATCGCTGGCCGCGGTGGGCGGGCACCCTATAGGAAAAAACTGGGGCCGGGAACCTCGGGGCCAACCGCGGACTTCGGCGGCTCGCAGGCCCTCGACGCGGGCCCCGCCGAAGCCCCGGGAAGCTGCGCCTTCCACTTCGATTGGCCCCTGGAGCCGCTCTTCTAGCAGATTCGCCGGCGCGAGACCGGGCGCGCCCCCGCGGCCGCTGGGACCCCCCCGCATGGAAGACGACTCGCCCAACCAAACACTCGCTTCCCTGGGGCGGCCGTCTCGCCGACGCCCCTGAGCCCCAAGGCCTCGAAGGGCGAGAGCTCGACCAGGCCCCCCCGGACGGGCGAGAACAGGGGCTGGCGCATGACAAGATCCGTGGCTCGCGAAAATCAGCTTCGGGCCCGCAGGAGCTGGGCTGGAAGGGCCGCCCAAAACCAAACGCGTCTGTCCGACGCTCGGGGACCCGCGGAGCCCTTCGGCGCAGCGGGCGCCCTTCGAATGCGAGGCCACTGGCGGCGCCCAACGAAGCGCCCCAAATCGGCACCGATGGGCGCCCGTCCTGCCGCGACGCGCGAGTTCGAGCGCAAGAGCCCACTCGCTGAACTCCCACCCCGAATCGAGGTGCACCTGAGGGGGTCGGGCAGGGAGCGAGGGCGGCCTCTGCCGCGTTGAAACTTGCCCTGGTGCGATTCGGCCTTTCCCTCCCGCGACGGGCGCGCCTGCTCGTGGCGTCGCGGCGATCTGGAACTCGAGCGCCGGGCGAGTGCCCCGCGGGGCGATGCCTGCGTTGACCACTGCGTAATCAATCTTGCTGGAAGCTCCACGGCGCCCTGCGCGCGTCGCCGCGAGCTAGCTGGCAGGCGCCCCGAATCGCCCGAGCTCCCCGACGAAACCAATAGATGGCAAACCGTCTATCTCCATCAGCCAATCGCCAACAACGGCGATCGGACCCGAGCCCTCGGGTAAGCGAGCACCAATCTCAGAGGGCAGCCTCAGATCGCGCGAAATCCAAACCGACCTCGCACCACAGATCAGACAGACTGGGACAAGCGCGACTGCCGCGTGCTTCAATCGAAGCGTAGCGACACGCCATCGAGCCCGAACTGCCGACCCCCCACTGCTGCCGCCAAACAGAACGACGAAGGGTACAAGTGCGTTCCCGGCTGGGATCAAGGGCCCCGCGCTGGACTCGCCAACCTCCGCGGCGACGTCCGAGCTTGCCAACGGACTTGTTCAGGTTGGAACATTTGGATCTACGCGCGCACCTCCACTGGCACAGCCGCGTCATTCGCGCGTCCACCTGGGGGCCCTAGGCGCTGATGTTGCCCGGGGCGCGCTAGGAACGTCGGGCGCTCGCCGCCGCAGCGGCGCCCTCCCCCTCGGCCTCCGCCGATGCTGCTCCGGCCCCGGCAACCTCAGAAGCGGCCGCTTCGCGCCGCTGACTCTCGTCGAGGTTGCTATCTGCGGGCGCCTGCCCCGCCCGTGAATCGGGCGCGGCGGCGGCCGAGGGCGGATCGCCCGCGCGGGGGCGCAGCGCTCGGGGACAGCAGCCCCGCTGTGAACTGCCGCCGCCCCCGCGCGGCCCAGGCCGCTCAGCTGGCGCGCCCTCCGCGGATGCATTCGCCCGGGCTGCGGACTGCCCGTCTGCGCCGATGCGCCTCCTCTTCGCCGCGATGTCCTCCCTGGGCCTGACGAGGTTTACCTTGAAATACAAGCGCCCAATTATTGTTTCAGTCCCCACCCGCTCCTCAAACAGCGGCCGCGACCGTCCCGCATCTGAAACACTCTGGCCCTGACAAATCCGCCGCCTCGCCGATGTCGAACTCCAGGGGCTCTGGATCGGCCGGCGACGCCTCCACGTCGGCGACCGAACAGTTGTCATAACGAAAAACGTATTCGCATAGAGGGCCGACGGACAATATCGGCGGACAGCACTACCTGGGCATGACACCTGGTAGCCTCTTCGAGATCTCGTTGGGCCTGCTTGTCTTTGCGTAGACTTGTGGATGCCATGACAATGGACACGCTAACAATCCGATCCTTGAAATTAGAGTGCGTTCAAGATGTCAGAAATTGTTCGAAACATGTTTCAAACATGTTTTTACATGTTTAAGACATGTTTCATTCATGTGTGAGACATCTAAAAACAATTTAGCAGCACGCTTCCTCTCCATTGATCGTCTTCCACAAGCGTAAACACTCATCCATTTTCGCCTGGGCTTAGTAGAATACGGGTCAACCTTGATGAATTCACGAAGGGCCTTGGTGGCCCGACGTTTGGACGCCTCGACTGCGTATTAATTCCGCCCGGGGCAGCTCGAACACCGGCCCTGGGGGTGTATGTTGGCCACGCCTCTTTCCTTGAGCCACTCGGCAGCTCTGCGTAGGGGGCGCAGACCGGCGGCCTTCTTGACTGCGGCAGCACGGGCTTCATCAAGCTCTGGGTTCCAGTTCCGTCGGCGAATGCGGGCAAGCTTGAACCCTCAAGGTCACAAGGGAACAGATGCTTGCCACAACCCGCCCACTCACCATGACGCAGGAGAAGGAGAAGGCGGTCGGAAATGCAATGGCCGCACTTGCACACCGTGTAGGACTGATTATTATCATTGGGCTTGCACGCCCTGTTGCCTGCACGAGACACTTTGCTCCAACCGTCGCCTGACCAGCCATCTCGGCCCGACTTGATACAGGACTCTTTGGACCACGGTGCTGGCGCCATCTTGGGCAGGGATGGGGGCGAAAAGGAGTTCCAACTACAGCGTTGGTTGCAGGGTGCCGTTCCATGTCTACAGAAGGGAGACACCGAGGACCAACGGTATTCACTTGTTCCACTGCGGACCTCATCGCCTTGAACCGAACTTACAGCTACGGAGGAGAAGGGGGAGGAGGACGAGGAGGAAGAGGAACAGCAGCACCTGCAGGAGGAGCCAGCGGCCAGCGAGGAGGCGGGCGAAGCTTGGCCCCCCCGCGGCCACCGACGTTTCCCGCGAGGCGCGCCCTCCGGGGGCCCCGGTCGGCTGGGCCGAGCCGCGCGCGGAGGGCTGCTGGCTGCTGTCGCTGCCGCCGCCGGATCCCGCGACTCCAGCCTCAGTTTCCGCCGCTTCCTGGCCTCCCTCCTCCTGCTGCTCCGGTGGCTGCATCTCCTCTCGTTTTCCTCCCCCTATTCCTTCTCCTCCTCCTCCGTTTCCTCCTCCTCCCCCTCCTCCTCCTCCTCCTCATCCTCCCTTTCGTCGTCGTCATTGTTGTCGTCGTCGTCGTCGTCCTTCTCCTCCTCCTCCTCCTCCTCCTCCTCCTCCTCCTCCTCCTCCTCCTCTTCGTACTCCTCCTCCTCCCTCCTCCTCCGCCTCTTCTTCTTTTCTATAGTTCCTTCTTTCTTTGGTACGGCCCCTGGTGCAATTCGCGCGCGCGCTGGAAATGAACCCGGCGCGACCCTTGGCATTGCGTGGCATTGCTTGGCATGAAACACCCGGGGAACCCGGGGAACCTGGGGAACCCAGGGTGGGGAACCTGGGGAACCCAAGGAATCTCCGGGGAACGGGCAAACTAAGGCCCCCGAAGCACCTACCTTTAATCAAGTATGAGCCTCGTAGGCAAGCCTAATTGGAGAAATGGTGAAAGCGATCATTACACACCATGTGCGCACCATGTAAGTGCACGAGAAGACTGCCGACACACAAGTAACTACGCAAAGCGGACTTTAGGCACCGCGCGGGAGAGGGGAGGCCTGAGCAGAGAGGACACCCCAAACACAAGAAGGAACTATTCTGGGTGCTGGAGAACTACATCCAATGCCCAATCTACAGCTGTGGCCTCCCACGGAAAAGCCGAGTTCAGACTGGTGGCCTTCTCGGCGATGAGCCCGAAGAAATGATATCGCACCCCTGCGGAAGCATCTTTCTGGGCGTCGCAGACCGCCATCTCGATTGCAGCCAACTGGTCACCATCCGAATCTCACGCTTCTCGCAAACCACCGCCGACGCAAACTTTGAATGCCCCACCTGGCGTGTGCATGCTCCCTGATTCCCGCGGAGTCCAGGGAGCCAACGTGAACGTTCGAGTCCATTGCCAAGTTGACGTGTCGAGTTCGAGTTCGTTCGAATCCTCCTCCTCCCCCACCCTGTCTTTCGACTCCTGTTGCTCCTCCTGATGCACCTGCTGCTCCAGCTGCTGCTCTTCCACCGCTTCCTCCTCTTCCATCCCTTTTCCTCTTCAATAGCTCACCCCTGTCGCACCCCCAGACGTGTCGGTCGGGCTGGGCGTTTCGCCAAAAACTTGCTCACCATCGATGACGCAGAAGCTTGAAACTTGCAACGGCTCCGAGGATGGAAGGCGGGCGGCTTTCAAAATGTGGCTTTCGCCTCAGCGCCGCGAACGTTGGTTTCCAATTTGTACAGCAATTTCAAAGATGGAGGCCGGGTGGTTTTCACAACGTGGCTCTCGCACTGGCGCCGCGCACATTCATTGTACAAATTGCAGCAAGGTAGGAATAGGAAGGCGGGTAGTTTTGGAAATTGCAGCCGTGTGTGTACGTGTGTGCGTGTGTGCGTGTGTGCGTGTGTGTGCGTGTGTGTGTGTGTGTGCGTGTATGTGTGTATGTGTGTGAGTGCATGTGTGCGTGTGTGCGAGTGTGCGTGTGTGCGTGTGCGTCGCCCTGTCCTGTCTGATATGTGCTCTCTGTATGTACCGTATGCATTTTCATTTGAACCTCCCAATCCATATGTCGCTGCATACATACAAACGCACTTACCTACGACACACACACATACATACATACATACATACATACATACATACATACATACATACATACATACATACATACATGCAAGCATACATACACATACATACATACATACACACATACATACATACACACATATGTGTGTATGCATGCATGCATGCGTGCATGCATACATATATATATATATATAAAATATAAAAAATAAATATGCATACACACATACCTACGCGCACACATATATATATATATATATATATATATATATACATACATGCATGCATACATACATACATCCACATGCACACATCAATCCATCCATCCATCCATCGGTACACATACATACATATATACATGCATACATACGAGAGAGCGTGATCCACCGCCGCTTTACTGTGGAAAATTGCCAACTTTTTCCTCCGAACCCGGGGGTCGCCCCCCCCCCCCTCCGAAAATTCCCCCCCCCCTGCTGGAAACCCCTCCCCCCCCCCCCCCCCCCCCCCCCCCTCCCCCGGCAAAACCCCCCCCTCCCCTAACCCCCCCCCCCCCCCCCCCCTCCCGCTCCCGAAACCGGGGGGGGGGTCCCTACCCGACCCCCCCCCCCCCCCCCCCCCCCCCCCCCCCCCTCCGGTCGGAAAACCGGGGGGGGTCACTACCGGTTCGAACCCCCCCCTCCCCCCCCCCCCCACTCACCGCCAGCAAACGACTCCCGGTCCCCACCACCGTCCGCATCACATCCCCCCCACTCCGGGTGTTCCCAGCACCACTGTCCTCACCACCGCTGTCCCCACTGGTTCCACCACCGCCCTACTGTCCCCACCAGTGGCCCCACCACTGTCGCACTGTCCCCGCTGTCCCCAGAACTGTTCCCACCACGGTTCCACTCTCCCCACTGTCTCCACGGCCCCAACCACTGCCCGACTATCCCCACTGTCCCCACTGTCCCACTGACTCCTCCGCTGTCCCACTGAGCTGTCCCACTGTTCCCACCACTGTCCCCACTGTCCCCACCACTGTCCCCACTGTACCTCTGTCCCATTGTCCCACCGCCGTCCTCGCCACCGCCTTCACCACTGTCCCCACCACCATTGTACCCTCCACTGTCCCACTGTTTCCACCTCATTCCCATTGTCCCCACACCACTGTCCCCACCACCACCGTCACCACCACTGTCCACTGTCCCCCCCTGTTCCCACCATTGTCCCCACCACTGTCCCCACCACTACCGTCCCCACCACTGTCCCACTGTCCCACTGTCCCCACCACTGTCCCGCTATCCCCTCACCACTGTCCCCACCAACACCGTCCCCACCACTGTCCGCACCCCCACTCGGTTTTCGAGGGGGGGGGGGTTCGAACCGGTAGTGACCACCCCCGGTTTTCCGGATCCGGAGGGGGGGGGGGGGGTGGGGGGGAGGGTTCGAACCGGTAGTGACCCCCCCCCCCTTTTCATGATGAGCAGGGGGGGGGGGGGGGGGGGGGGGGGGGGGTTCGAACCGGTAGTGACCCCCCCCGGTTTTCCGGAGGGGGGGGGGGGGAGGGGTTCGAACCGGTAGTGACCCCCCCCGGTTTTCCGCCAGCAGCGGTAGAACACGCTCTTTCATACATACATACATACATACATACATACATACATAAATAAGTACATACATACATACACACGTACATACATACATACATACACACACATACATACATACATACATATATACATACATTCCATTCCATGCCATTCCATGCCATTCCATTACATTACATTGCAGTACATTACAATACATTACATTACGTTACATTACGTTACATTACATTACATTACATACATACATGCACACATCATACACATACATGCATACATGCATGCATACATGCATGCATGCATACATGCATGCATGCATGCATACATACATACACACATACATACATACGCGGGCCCATAACCAGGACCCTGGATATACATGGGTGGGCAGGGGCTCCAGGGGCCCGCTTGGGGGGCCCAAGTGGCCTCGTGGTCGCACGGAGAACCCACCAATTGGTATGACAGTCTATCAGACTGGGTCTAGTAAAGTCTAATTAGCACACTCCGAGAGCACCGAACATGCTCTCTGAACGGCCTCCGAAGGCTTCCAGGCTGCGCCAGTACGGCCCCGTGCCAGCTTCAGTGGGCGCTCGAGGTCCCAGGCGAGGACCCCGAGAGGCATCAATCATGCTTTAGCCAAGATTTTTCCATATTTTCGGTGCCCTCTTGTCGACACTATGACGCTCCACGACGGCCCACAAGGCCTCCGACACCGCCTCAGGAAGCGCCCAGCGGCCCCCGGGAAGGCCCCGGGAAGGCCTCACAGGGCTCCATGCCGCCCCCAGGGGCGGCCAAGACGGCCCACGTCGTGAAGCAAAAGTTTGGATCTTTCGCCTCGGGGAGCTCCCCCGAGGCCTCCAGGAGGCGCCAACACGGCCCTGGGCAGGCTCCAGAGCGCGTCCGAGGCCCCAGCCGAGTGCTCCAGGAAACAGAAAACATCGTTTTCGCGCTGGTGTTCACATATTTTCGGTGCCTTTCGTGTTCCCTTTCTGGGGCCCCTCTTGACGCATTCTTGGGTCTTGGGCCGCATTGGAGCCGTCTTGGGCCGTCTTGGGCCGTCTAGGGGCCCTCTTGGGGGCCTCTTGGGCCTTCTTGGGGCGATCTTGGGGGCCTCTTAGGCCGTCTAGGGGCGTCGGGAAGCCATCAAGACACTCCACAACGGCCCACAAGGCCTCCGACACTGCCGCCGTAGGACGGGCCCCGCGGACCCCGAGAAGGCCCCGGAGCGGCCTGGCCGGGTCCCATGACGCCCCCCTGGGGTTCGCAAGATGGCCCACGAGGCTCCCAAGACGGCCCCGAGGTGGCCTCCAGAGGAAGGGCATGAACCGAAATCTTGAATTCTCCGCCTCCTGAAGCTCCCCCGAGGCCTGGAGAAGGCGCCAGGACGGCCCCGGGCAGGCTCCAG